GGGGGGGGGGGGGGGGGGGGGGGGGGGGGGGGGGGGGGGAAGGTAGTGAAGGAGATGGGTATTGGGGCTATGGCGGCTATGGAGGGGGAAAATGGCTAAGGGGGAGTCGGCTAGTGGGATCATACTCGAACCAGGTGATAAGACGAGTTTCGTAGGACGGAGGAGGAGAGATGAGATTAGCAAAAGGATGGAGACGGGGGTGTGGAGAATTGGGATGGAGGATCAGATCGGGTGGGGTGGTAGATAGTCTGATAATTAGTGGTAGGGGATATGGGAAGTGGAATGTCAGTAAAAGAAGGAAGGACGTCGGTTTTGTCCCACTTGATGGAAAGTACCCCAACTTGTGCCTTCTCTTGGGCAGCTTTGGTGGTCACATTCACCGTGGATAGACGTATTCGCCAACCTTCGTCGAAGATTTATCCCTGTCCAAAGCAGAACTGGATTTGCCGCCTTTCCAAGTGAGTCCCCCCCTGCGTTCCTTGACACATAGAGGACTTCCCAAAGCCTGTACCGCGCCTTTTCCGTAATTGGAAAGGCGGTTGGGTCCCTTGTAGCTTTTTGCCTTTTTTCCTTCTGATTGCGAGTGGGGCCGAAGCTTAGGAGGACCCCCAACAAGATCTTGCTGTCGCGTAGCTCGTTCGTCGTCTCCTGTCACCTTCATCTCTCGCCTAGCATAAACTCGTAGAGGATTATAGTCCCCTAAAGATGCGATCCCACCGTTCGACTAATGAAAGGAACGGCTGGATAGTGAATCCCGCTTGACCTGGTGCCTCTTCCGTAACTGTCTCGTAGTGGTAGCTAGGTACGCAGCTTTTCCTAGCTTTGACTCATAGAGGAATCAACAACAAATGGTGTAATCTCACCACTCGTGATGGTATCCGATCTAGCCGCGTAGGTAGAGCTCCAAATATCCTTGCTCTCCCCTCTCTTTGTCGTCATTCCCACTCACCTCCTTGGCTCGCAAAGGATTCTAGGGCCGAGGAGATCGGTCTTTCCCTTCTTGCAACGGACGGTCCGATAGCTACTTCAGATAGGCGCTACAAAATCACGTGAATGCAGCTAACCATCTTCGACCTAGGCACTGGGCAGTGCCACCTGCTACGTGGCGTGGCACCTCGCGTTTGCATGCGGAGGGGCTTGCAAACGGCGGCGTGGCATGGCACAGCATCACGGCTTGGCGCGAGAATTAGCGCTGTGAGCTTGCGCTAACCAGCAGCGCGCGACGTGACTCTCACAACAAGCGACAAATCTCTGGAAATAGTAGTTCTATCCTTGTCGAAACTTGTTTTTGCCTAAGCTCGGATGCAATGATGATAGGGGCCAAGCTGTTCATTTTTTCCCCACGCAACGCATAGTTGCCCTTTCCTCAAATGGAAACCAGAGTAGAGCATTTGTTATGTTGCCTTAATAAAGCTCTTTTGCCACAGTATGATCTCCATTCCTCGGAACATGGGTGCCTGTGCTTCCTTCTTTATGCTCTCGCCTTGACTCTGCCCCTGGAGGTGCGAACCCATCAACCCCCCCTCTATCTTCTGATATCTCAGAGCCAGAGTGCTGAAATTTCGACCCTACTGTCAGCTCCCTCGCCTTTTCTAGACCATCCTACGTTTCCCACTTTGCCTGTTTCTTCCCTTTTCGTCCTTTCCTGAGCAGTTCCTTGTTCCAGAGAGCCAAAGTATGTGTGTTTCGCCTAGGAATACCCACTCCTGCTCACACCTAACCTGTCCGAGTGGCCCCCCATCGGTGCAATTCTGGAACAAACTGTCATTTCCGACCCGCTCATCAGTGCAACATGTCTTTTTCACACTGCACATTTAGTGTCCGCTGTCCAGTTGCATTGGGGGTGAGGCACTGGCCGCATTCCCTCACTGCTCAAAATGTCAGCCATGCCGCCTCACTCCCCTGCCAGGGACAGGTGGCTACCGTGGGTGCAGCAAACAGCGTTTTGGTGTGAAGCAGACGGGGACTAGCGCTCTAAGCAGGTTGTCCTGTTTTAAACCTGTTTGAACTATTTCCCAATTTATGCACTTCTTTTTTCCTTTCTTCCTTTGCCTTCTTACGTCTCCAGCATAGCATATTGATCCCGCACCCATGAAACCCCTGGAGCATGCAATTGGCAGCCAGTTGCAAACATCTTGGCCAAGCATGGACATGACTGCAATCACATGGCAGTTGTAACTTGGTTGGGAGTCTTGGGACCATAATGTGACACTCCAGATCACTGCATCATGGCAATGGCCAAATGGTGTGAGCACAAAGCCCCTCCATGGATGATAGAGATGGGAACCATTAGCAAAGGGTGTACTCTTTGCAGGCAATTTCTACCTCTTGACAAACCCAGATCAAATAGTCTGCATCACGCATCTTCCTAAGTATCCAAGGAGCCTGCGACTCTTTCAAAATAAAGAATCAGCTGATAAATGACATCACACTATTCCTTCGGGGGAAAAAAGAGAGTCTCAGAGAGAAAAGCACCAGGGGATAACACTAGAATGTTGAATATTCTTTCGAAAAGGAGCAATGCAGTTAGGAGTTCGGGTACCCAAACAGAGAATACTTGGCAGCATAATAATGGAGAGGGAGGGAGGACGTTAGAAGATAAATCCGACAGAGATTAAGAAGTAACCAAGTTCATGCAAGGTTTTCAGCAATTACTAAACATTCCCTTAGAAGCCAGCCCCAAATATCAGTCCTCGCATTCAGGTTTATAAGACAGCACTCAGCGGAAAGAGCTAGGAGCTAGGCGTCTCAGAGGATCAGAAGATAATGGATATAGGCTAGCATTCAAGTTTATCAAACACCACTCAGTGGAAAGACCTAGAAGCTAGGCGTCTCAAAGGATCAGAAGATAGTGGATATAGGCTAACTTAGGCAGGGGTGAGGGGTGGTATATCCTTCCCTTACGGAAGTAATCAATGCCGTCCACTCGGGCCTCTCAACCATAATGGGGGGGGAGCGTGAGCGTGTTTTCATTGTATTTATATTTGACTTGCCCGGGGAATAGGAAACGGACTGTTGCTCCCCAGAATGGCAGGGGCCAGAACCAAGAGGTTTTGTTTTTTTAATAAAAAAAAGAAAAAAAAAAGGGAACAAAAGCACCCCAAGTATAATGTCACAGTATTCCTTCTGTAACAGAACTTAGCCCATACTCCAGAGCACAGACTGGGCACACACAGTATCGAAGAAGCCATGCGGGAAAGGAATTACATTCGAACATGAGAAGGGAAAATAACGACTTTGTTCCCTGGTTATAGAAAAGGATAGTTAAAATGCAGCAGTTTCCTTGGTCTCAGTGGTCCGACAAAAATGGCTATGAAAAGAACATTGCTGCCCATTGCTTTACCATAAGTTTCTTCTGCCAGCGGGTGGGGCATTCTTTCCTCCAATTGGTGCCTTTTTCTTCACTCCTCTGTCCCCTTAATGATAACCGTTCAAAAAAGTTGAAGCGCATAGACACATGGACTGGAATTATCCACTGGTATTGCAAGACTGTTGCATTATTAAGGAAGTTGTGTCCAATCTGAGAATATTGTGTTTTGGGGCAGTCCATCCCCCACACCAGGGGTGAGGCAATCAATGCTGTCCTGCGCTACTTGTTTCTGTTTCTTATAAGATGTTGTGGCCAGTTCCCAGTACATGCAGCTCCCCACCAATAGGCTTGAGCACCTCAAAGCGGGGTGGGGGGGGGAGGGGGAGGGGGAGAAGAAGAGGAAATAAAGCTTCCCTACAGTGAACCCGCATACAGCTGGCATTCTTATCTCCCCCTTCATTGGCAACTGTCAGAAAGAGTAAAAGCACCACCCGCCCCCTTCCCTCCCCCCCTTGTTGCCAACCATCCGAGAGAAGAAAACCACATAGATTCATAGACCTCCCAACGCATGCAGACGAGAAGGGAACAACCTCCAATCTCCCAACGGCAAAACCCACATGCAGCTGAGATTGCCACTGCCCATTGGTGACATCAGTTTTCCTCAGCCGATTCGTTTTAAGATTCGGACCTTTCAAGACACCCAGAAGTGGAGACACAGCTTCCACTTTCCCTACAGCAAACCCCCATGCAGTGTACATGGCTACCACCCATTTGGGACACTGGCTCTTGGCTTTTAGAAACCTCTGCACAAACCATCACCGTCAGATTCAAATCCTACAGGCTTTCATATAGGCTTTCATATTTTGGCCCGGTTCAGGCATTAGCCCTCCTTATATCTACAAAGTGTGTCCAAGCCCAACGCAACATAAAGCCACTACCTCGATATTGACAGCAAAGAGAGGGAGGAGGAGGAGGAGAGGGGGGGATGTCGAATCAGAAGTGGCAAGGAATTTGAGTGCCAAGCAATGACGGCATTTCCTAACTAGCATTCATCCGGTACACCAGAGGGCAGCTGACTTACATGCCCTATGCACAAATAAAGGGCTGAATCTAGCGACCTGCTCCACAGAGATGTCAACGATGAGTGAAACCAACGTTGGGACTTTGCGATCAACAGACTGTGGTACGCTTCCGACAAAGAAGTGCTGTGCTGCTGGGCTCATAGATAAGGAGCAGCTACTCTCGAGCTACGTCTTTTTGCTGACCTATACTTGAGCTATAGATAACAGCTGTCTGTCATCAATGATGCCATGCGCGCCGCTTCAATTCCTTGATATGATATGTGACCTGCTTCACAACTTTAAAAACCATACTTTCCAAAACAAAGTTGTGCCACCACATGGGAGCCTCTGCTTCTTTTTTTTTTTTTTTTTTTTTTTTTTAAACAGGTCCTTATGGTCCTGGCTCCATATCCATTCTGGGGAGCATCAGTCCGGCTCCTGTCCACCGGCAAGTCGAGAATTGGAGTACATGGTGAACACTCTCACGCTTCCTTCCGTCTGGCCGAAGGAACCCTGACCAGCATTGATTGCTCCTATGTAGGACGATTGACTGTCAGGTTTCCCTACCGCGTTTCCTCTCAGAATCCATTTTGATTCTGTCATTAGTTCGTGTGCAACAAGAAAAGTAGAGAGTTGTCTGTATTGTTGAGACTATGGTCTCAGTTTGCCCATCGCTGGGTCGTCATCCTTGCTGGAGGTTCGCTGTGCCATTTTTTCCAGATCAATCTGTTATCTGCCACTGTTGAGATCTTTCCCTGTAGGAGGCAGTCTTTCATGAAAGAACGTCTCTTGGTGGCTAGCCTTTCTGGTCTGACTTTCGTTGTTGATCTAACCTCCCTCCATCTGCACGGAATCTCAGTTTCCGTCATGCTCAACAGTAGGGCCCACATTTCTTCCCTTGCCACCTCAGTTCTCCGATAGTCTTGGTACACCTCCATTTCCAGATCATCAAAAGAGCCAGCTTCCTGAGAAGGTGAAACCAGATTTCCTTGCCGCCTTTGAGATTGTTAGTACTGTTGGATAGAAGCAGGATGTTTTCAGGAGATGTGGGGGGAGGGGATGATGAGAAGAGGAGGGACCATAGGTCGCGAGCTTTGTTCCATATCCAGGCTGCTTCAGTGCAGTACAAGAGGCAGTGGGGTATGTCTTCTGGTCTGTTGTCTGTGCACATAACACATAATTCGGAGCTGTCGGGATCCGTATGTTTCCTCCTCTTGTGGAGCCATGGGTTGACGGGGAGGGATTGCTTCGGATCGTAACTGGTCCGATGGACAGGTACTTCGTCCAGGGGATGGAAACGTGGTCAGTGGGTTATAGGTTCAGGGTCTCCCTCCATTTTTCTTTGAGTCTGGAATCCGGGTCTGTAGTTTGTAATCCTAAGTCATAACCGAATTTTACATTGTATTCGAATATCGTTCTCGTCTCCTGGATTTCCGCTGTTTCCAGATCCACTCTTTCGGGTCGAATTCGAGGTCTGAGATGCAGAGATCAGGTTGGAAGATTATCCAGGGTTTGGCTTTTTGACCCTCACTTTCCTCAGTCGGAAGGATTCTAGCATGTCGCACTAGGGTTCTTTGTTCATAACTTCTAGCTCTTGTAGATTGTGATTAGTGATCGGGTAGGGGAAGAATTTGGTGAGGTAGCTGGGTGCATTGGTTCGAGAAACAAATCGGTAAGCTCTGCGAGGCTGGGTTTGGGAAATGAGTATGCCCCAGTCCCCGAATTTCCACGAGGAGTCCTCCCTTCAGAGGGAGAGCCACTGTGTTGGGATGCTCTTCTGAATGTGTTAGATTTTCTGTGAGGGCGTGGCAGCCTTTTAATTCATTTTGGAGCTCCTGTTTGGATAACCATTGTCTTCGATCTTCTGCCCAAATGTGTTTCAGCTGCCACACCCCTTTTTCCACCCAGGATAGCCATCTCCTGTCTTTTGTGCGTAGTGTCCAGGGCGAGCCAATCGGGTCTACGATCCAAGAATTGCAGAACAGAGGTTGTCTCATGACCTCTTCTCTGTTTCCTGGTGCACCGTGTTTGCTTGACATCATTTTTCGCCAGGCTTTGAGGGTTGGCTTCCAGTATGGATTTGCCGTTGGAGTAGGGCTTGTAATACGATCCGTTGGGTTTCTTCTGCTCTGTTGGCCTGATTTGATTGTCCAGTCCTTCGCCATTATCCAGAAGAGACCTCTCATGTTCAGAGGGGAGTTGACAGGATCTAGATTTCTGATGCTGTCCAAAGCCATTTGGGTTCATGGAAGGAATTGTCTTATTAGGATCTTGATAATCCATTTCATCTGTCGTGCTATGGATTCCTGTTTGGGATCAATAAGCCCCAGGCCCCCGTCTTGCGGTTTCCTGATGATGTGGTTCCAGGCTACCCTGTCAATACACGTGGTCCTGTTGGGGTCCTCGGTCCATAAGTAGCATCTGGCCCTGTTTTTTAACGTTTTGAGGTCATCATCAGGGGGGACCAGATGGATGCCTTGTACCACGGTGTGGAGAAGATTGTCGTGTTAATGAGTAGCGCTCTTCCGATTAACAAGGCCCGGGCATTTTTGCACGGGGCCATGGGAGTGATTGCCCTGGCGACTAGGTTTTGGCCCATGCCTGGCCACACTTCATCCTTGTTTACCATGATACCAAGGAATCTTAGTGCCTGATCTCCTGTAGACCATGACATGGTTGTGGCTGTATCGGCTGGTTGGGGTGGGGTCCCGTCTGCTAGCCATCATCCTTCGGTTTTGCCCCAATTGACCTTCATTTCCGATGCTAGTCTGAAGGCTTCCATTGCTCTTATGAGGGCTTGGAATGAGCAGACTGTTGGCACGAATGAGGACAGTGAGGTCGTCGACGAACATTAGCGCAGTGGGTAGGGAGAAGTCGTGTAATGGATTGAACTTGCGTTCCGTAAGGCGGTCAATGGAAGGGTCTTTCCAAAGAAAGGAGGCTATGGCTTCCATAATGAAGAGGAAGACGGGGCCAATGGGTCGCCTTGTCTAACCGATCTCGAGATCGGGTAGGTCTCTGAAAGAATCCTATCGACCTGAACACCGCCTGTTGCGTATGAATAGAAAACTCTAGCCCATTCTCTGAACTTGGGGCCTATCCCCATTTTTTCCATGCAGGCATGCAGGAAGTCCCAATTGACCTGATCGTAGCCCTTTCCGAAATAAAAAAACAGGACTGCTGCCTTCATTCGTTTTTGTGTGATCTTCTTTGCTGCCTCATTTAGTGTCATCATGTTGTCTAGTATGTACCGGTCAAGGATAAAGCCTGCTTGGTCGATATGAAAGCATTTGTTTGTTATCTTTGTGATTCTGTTTGCAAGGGCCTTAGCGAGGATTTTTTAGGGAGCAATGAGTAGTTATATGGGTCTATAGTTTTTCAGGTCTTATTTGTCTCCCTTTTTGTGCAACAGAGATGCCACGCTGGTGCTTAGTTCCTTGCCTAGGCCTCCCTTTAGCCTGCTGTCAGTGAAGAACTCGAGCAGGTCCTCTCCTAGAGTCGACCAAAAGTAGCTCCAAAATTCTTTTGAGAGGCTGTCGATGCCGGGAGCTTTGTCATTTTCCATCTGGGTCAGGGCTACGTGTAGCTCAGCCAGGGTTAGGGGTTTGTCCAGGCCTTCCGCTTGAGCTGTCAAGATCGTTTTGTCTAGGAACGACATCATGCGTTGACGGTTTTTAGGTTTGCTGTGGTCGGGGTTGAAGGCGTCTTTGACTCGTATAGATCTGCGTAAAATATCTTGGCTATCCTGACCATCATTGTACCTGCTGTTTTGACATTCCCTTGATCTCTTGGGTCTTTGAGGGCCTCTATCATGTTATTCCTGGTGTTCGCCTTGATTATGGAGAGGAAGAATTTAGTCATGGTTTCAACGAGTGTGTAGATGTCAGCTGGTGCGTATTTGCAGTCCTCTCAAGTTGCGTCTTCTCCATTCGTTTAGTTCCTCTTTGATATCAGCTAGTAGATCCTTGTAGAACTTGCTGGAAGAGTCCTCTGCTAGGTTAACTTATGTAACTGTGATGGTGAAATGGAGTTCCTCCCTTCTCCTTTGCGATCCCCCGCTATGCTCCGTGATTTTGCTGATATTGTTCATGTTAGGTCTGCGTAACTGTCGATGAACCATTGGTGCTTGTTCGCCTGTCTGAATTCTCGTTGTTTTTGGATGGACCAATTTTCTTTGACCGCTATGGACAGCCTCTCGGTCGCTAGGAGAGAGTTGTTCAGCCTGAAATAACTCTGTCCTGTGTCGACTGGTGAGTTGAAATTGAGCAGCAGTTGAATGGGTGGGAGCCTTTGCTTCTTCCTTTCTGATATTTACAAAATTGGTACGTTTTGGATATAGCATATGCGTTTTGGTTGATATTATCAATATGAGGCCCACTATTTCACGAACAGAACAAGAGCCTTTGCATGGTATGCACGGTCCAGGAAACATCCAATGGCTTGATAAGCCTGTGGACCACGACACACCAGAACAGCGTACACCTTGAGCAAGTTGAAAAAAATGGACCATTCCACTAACGACCATACCAAGAAGGAAGGGGCAGAGATTTCTTCCAAGATAGGATGTCATCAATTAACTGGTATGTGAATGCATATGCTTGAGCTGCGCATAGATCTCGCTGTCGAAGTTCACCGATGAACTGTGGCTCGTCCAATTAGAGCGTGAATTGGCAATTGCAGCGTTAGTGCCCACAGGGATACTGACCACCTAACGGCAGAGAGTGCCATACACTGCGTAAGAT